CGACCGCGAGTTGGCGGGGTTACCTCAAATTCTCCTCATGAAACCACCTCCCCACCCACCGGGAGGCACCCGGGCTCTCCGGGTTCCTAGAGACCGCTCCTTGGCAACGGTTGCCATGCGCTAACGTCATTTCCTATGGCTTAGGGCACGCACCGGGGGCGGGGCCTTGGGCTTGGAAGCTGGTTCTGGTGTCTGGGGTCCCGAGCCATTGCAGAAAGCCTAGGGTGTCCCGGGCTTCTGGTCCCACTTAGGGCGATAATAATCTTTGCGAACCTTCTACAGCTCGCACTTGAGCTGTGCTATTTGCGTGTGCTGCTTCATTCATTTATTTATTTACCAAACTTGAAGCGACTACTTCTTTGAAGCAGGGCTACATGGGGTTTGGGGTCAGGAAGCATTGGGTGTGGCTTTCGAGTTTAGGTTTCGACGTAGGCATCTCCAGATTAAACCATGCATGGGAGCAATTATACAGGATGGTATATTACACAACATGCGCGGAGGGAGACAGACAAATGGAGTCCTCTGAAAACTGGGTTAGTTGCGCAGACATCCTTGGAGAAACGGTGGATTTAACATCAGACGAACCACAACCTAAAACTAACAAATGATAAATTAGACCTTACATGCCCCCATACTGCTGGCTGCCGCAGTTAGAGAATGCAATAGAGAGCAAGCTAGCTCAGTCTTAATTATCATCCATAATCATAAGACTTATCTTATGGAGGATGCCTTCTGCTGGCGTCCTCTTCCTAGGTCACATGGTGACTGCAGAGCAGAGAGCAGGAGGAAAAGAGAAAGGGCCACAAAATTATTTTTTACATTTTATTTTTTGTGTGCATGTGTGTGTGCATGTACCGCAGGGGTGAGGGGGTAAGACAAACAACACCATTAAACAGGCCAGGACTGAGAGAGATGTAACAAAATGTTCCAGTGATGATGAAGCTTAGATGATGAGCCCCGCGTTTACTGGGGAACAGGGAAGGCTGAAGGAGTCATACTATCAAGCCTCCATCTGAAAGTTTAAGGGCCAGTAAAAAGCATCTGGTGAGATCGTTCAGCTGGTAAAGGTGCTTGGTGCACAAACCTAATGATACCAGACAGACAGCTTGTTGACAGGCCAAAGGGAGATTCGATTCCTCCCTGTGATTCCTTAAGATATAACCTCCGTGGGACTCATTGAGGAATCTAAGAAGACATTTCCAGTAAGTTTCAAAACAGACAGGCACTTCTGAGTCTGTCTGAAGCAAGCTACCTGTAGGTAGCCCCCTCCTCCTCAGACGCCAGGCCAAATCTTACATCTAATCTCCCAATGACTCCTTTTAACTGAACTGTATTTGAGATTTTCAATAGATTCTAACCCTATGTGACAGTAGTTCTGAAAGCTTGTCACTTCAACTTCATCCCCTCCCTCCCTCTGCCGCCTCTGCTCCCACTGCTATTCCCCCTTCCCTTTCTCTTCCTTTCTGCTAACCTTGCCTATGCTTGGAAGTCACTCTCCCATTGGCTTACATCTCCAACCTTTGTTTTTAGTTTTAGTATATCATTTACTTACTGTATGTAGGAGGGCAAAATCCACTATTGGGAATGCCATCCCTGGGCATATGAGCCAGGAGGAATGAGCAAGTAAGAAATGTCCCTTTGTTTTTTTCGAGACAGGGTTTCTCTGTGGCTTTGGAGACTGTCCTGGAACTAACTCTTGTAGACCAGGCTGGTCGCTAACTCACAGAGATCCGCCTGCCTTTGCCTCTCTAGTGCTGGGATTAAAGGTGTGTGCCACCACCATCCGACTCCCTTTGGGTTCTTGCTTCAAGCTCCTGCCTTCAATTCCTGCCTTTACTTCCTGACGACGGACTGCAATCCTTAAACCAAGTAAACCCTTTCGTCTCCAGTCTGGTTTTGGTCGTGGTATTTTATCACAGTCACAGAAAAGCAAACTAAAACTGGTGGTTAGATGTTGTGTGCTCGTGAAGTTCAAGAATATCTCGACCATCAGGTGTGACTTAATCTGAGCGTTCACTGTCATTTTGACTTTGTCCCCCACCACTCTATTTCCTCCCCCACTTTACTCTGAATGGGCTGCTAGCAGTGACAGACTTATATCCTGCCAGCCTGGTGTTTCAGAAAATTCCCAGAGCAGACTCTCATTGGCACGAAGTATATCAGATTAGCCACACACTCCCATCTCCATTTTTGGTTTATATGTACAGGTGTTTTTACCTGTACCACCAGCATGTAGTGCCCATGGAGGCCAGAAGGGGCATCAGACTCTTGGAAATTAAAGATGGCTGTAATGTGTGTGATGGGAATCAAACTTGGGTTCTCTGGAAGAGCAGCAAGTATTCTTAACTCCTGAGCCATCTCTCCAGCCCCTAGACATTTTCCTTTTTAAATTTTTTAAAAATTATTTTGATCATATGTTATTTTGAGATAGTCTTGCTAAGTCACCCATGCTAGCCTTGAATTTTCTTTTCTTTTCTTCTTCTTTTTTTTTTTTCAAGATGGGGTTTCTCTGTGCATCCTTGGATGTCCTGGAACTCACTTTGTAGACCAGGCTGTCCTCAAACTCACAGCGATTGACCTGCCTCTGCCTCCCAAGTGCTGGGATTAAAGGCATGCAGAGCCACTGCCCAGATTGGTCTTGAATTTTCAATCTTCCAGTCTCAGCTGGGATTAAAAGTATGCACAACTGTGCCATGCTCCATTCTGTTTCCTTGATTTTTGTAACAGAGTCTTTACTACATAGTCCAGACCAGTCTGGGACTCATTGTGTGGCCCAGGCTGGACTCAAACTCTGTCTTGCCTTCACCTTATGTAGGTATGTGCACCATACCCACTTCAAACCATTCTTAAATTGATGGGTTTATTTCTTATAGCAACAGTAATAGAGTGGGTGAGGGTGGTTCTCCAAAAGGAAGGGCTGGGCCTGTTACCAGTGGGAGAGACGCTGTGCCGACTAGAGCGATACAGGGCATTTGTGTTTTGGAAAAGCTGTTACATCCTAAGAGCTAATGTGACTCCATTGCTACAGTGCTTGCTTAGCATGCACAAAGCCCTGATCCCCAGCACCACATAAATCACGTGTGGTACATGTATACATGGTAGAACATGCCTGTTATTTCAGCACTGGGGAGGCAGAGCCAAGAGGATCAGGGGTTCTAGGTCATCCTTAGCCACATAGTAAGTGTGAGGCCAGCCTGTGCTAGGTTGAACACTATCTCAAAAAAAAAAAGAGGGGGGGTAGACAACAAGATGACTCTGTAGTAAAGGCACTTGCTGTCAAGCCTGATGACCTGAGTTTGGTTCCCAGAATCCACAGAGTAGAAGGAGAAAGCAGACTCCTGAAACTTGTCTTCTGACCTTCTTCACATGTGGGCACATGAGTGCACATACCTACATACACACATACATATACGAACAAATATAAAATAATTAAAAGTCAGAAGAAATGCACAGGAATTCATTGTGTAGGCTGTCTGTATCCATGGGAACTTTCTCCTTTGTTTTCTTCCAAGGAATATCTGTCTCTAATGCGGACACCTACCATGGCCCAGGAGAGGTCTTTATGGACATCTGAGGGATGCCACTAACACAACGTCTCCAGTTCCTTTCCAGTACAGAACTTCCAAACAAAAACTTTCCTGCACAAAATCCAAGGAATCCAAGCCAATTTTCTGTTTGGGGTATTAAATTTAGACCTATCATCCTGACCAGGAGATATTTCTGGATCCTGAACGAGCGTTCAGTGAACGCCAGTTTCCAAGATGCCATCCCATCTGGGGTAGCTCCGCATGCTGCCCACATTATCTTATCCTTTGAAAACAGGAAAAATGACCCAGACACCAGAACACGATTGCAAGTGGGTTATTTTGTTAAACCATTATTGTCATTTAACACCTTTGCCATCTAGGCTATGTGGAGATGACAGTCATTAAGCTTAAATGGAAACCTGAGTTGAGGTTTGGAGATACCCTGAGCTCGCTCTGCTCTGGCAGTTGGATCTTGTGAGCACATTTGGTAGCAGGATGTGATTTCTTAAAAGGCAGAAAGATAAATATCCTGTGAAGCATTCGGCTAAATGGATGAGATTCCAGAGGCCTAATTAAATGCATGCCTGGCACTACATTTTTGTCAGGCTTTCCTGGTAATGGATTTTGTGTTTGCCAATGGACTACAGTTTGCAAAGCCTGAAAATCACCAATGAGATTAATGAGCTCTATAAAGTAGCCAAAATTATATTACAATTTATATAGACTCCTTGGTTATCCATTTGGAATGAAATACAGTCCTTACCTGACATTCTCCCAGGGGCTCAAATCATCATCATCACTTGCTGAGAGCTTACTATTTAGCAACAGCTTTGAGAAATACTTCACAAATGGGTCAGAACCGACTTCAACATTAACGAGTGTGGTGGAATCCTATTTCCCCTCCTCTGGAAGCAATTCCAATTGCCACTAGCAAGCTGCGCTTTCCATAGCAAATCTGCCTGTGACGTCTTTGGGAGGAGGAAAGGAGACCTCCTTCACAAATGGATCAGCAAACACTAGAGGTGCTATGAGGTATCCCAGGGCAGGGATAATGCCCTAGAAGAGATGGACATATTCCTTGGAGACCACACTGACAGTCAATGATACTTCTCTTGCCCTGGGCTTCACACGGAGTCAGTCACATGGAGGCAGCAGTGCCACTGTATGAGAACAGAGCTGCAGGGTGGAGTGATGAGTGAACGAACAAGAGGTCATAGGTGCCCCAAAGCCTCATCACTGTGGAAAAGCCCTGGGAGCAGGCACCCCTTGGTGTGTGTGCCAAATGGGAGGACACTTGATCATGAGACTGCATTTCCTTCCAACCTAACAGAAGAGGGGCTAGAGGTCAGACATCAGCAGATGCAAAATAAAGTCATTCTGGCTGATCTGAGTCGAGGACTAACGCCAGTAATGACCTCTATCAGTCAACAATCCCATCAAGGTAGAGGCAGCCCACCCTGAGCAACTGAGGAGCCTGTAACACAGGACTGTATATAAAGGTTTGAGCAGGATTTAAGTGCCTGACAGGGGACCAGTAACAAAGGTGTCATAGATTCCCTGAGCCAAAAGCAGGAAATTCAAGAAAGG